TTTTTTTATTGGCTTAGTCGATTCTACTCGTCGAGATCGCCAATATTGCATCATAAACATGGTGCCGCAAAATTAACTTTCAAGGTCATTTTCAATGTCAAATTTTTTTATTGGCTTAGTCGATTCTACTCGTCGAGATCGCCAATATTGCATCATAAACATGGTGCCGCAAAATTAACTTTCAAGGTCATTTTCAATGTCAAATTTTTTTATTGGCTTAGTCGATTCTACTCGTCGAGCTGAATAAAAGTCTCAAAGGGATCATATGCCGAAAATCAATATTTCATAGAGAAATCTTCGTTTGAAGTTTTTCTGCCTGAAATTTCCAAAAAATCGATTTCTATAAAGTCAGAAAATAAATCTGATGCTTATAAAATTCTTAAAATCATGTTCTGAATATCTTGATCATGATTAGCGAAAATCACCCCTCAAAAATGATCCTGAAAAGTTCGTTTTCAAAGTCAAAAATATGCTTAATCTACTCTTAAACCCAAGAACAACGACGTGGACGTGGTAGATTTCTGTTCTCTTCGGGGTAACTTGATTATAGTGAGTTCCCCTCGCCTCTCACTTCGGGGTGACTTGATTATTGTGAGTTCCCCTCGCCTTTCACCTCGGGGTGACTGGATTATTGTGAGTTCCCCTCGCCTCTCACTTCGGGGTGACTTGATTATTGTGAGTTCCCCTCGCCTTTCACCTCGGGGTGACTGGATTATTGTGAGTTCCCCTCGCCTCTCACTTCGGGGTGACTTGATTATTGTGAGTTCCCCTCGCCTTTCACCTCGGGGTGACTGGATTATTGTGAGTTCCCCTCGCCTCTCACTTCGGGGTGACTTGATTATTGTGAGTTCCCCTCGCCTTTCACCTCGGGGTGACTGGATTATTGTGAGTTCCCCTCGCCTCTCACTTCGGGGTGACTTGATTATAGTGAGTTGCCCTTGCCTCTCACTTTATCGTCGTTGACGCTGCCTACGAACAAACAGAACTGACCCATCGGCCCCAATAGCTCTGAGTAGTTGTGCTTGTCTGCCAGCTTCAACGTGACCGTAGCATGTCGAGGCATGCTACAGCAACGTTATTTTTAGAAAAAATTTGGTAAAAAATTAAAACAACTTTTTTTAATTTTACACTGAAAATTGATTCAAGATCAGCGGCGGTCTTCTAATAATCACAAAAAAGATCTGGATATGGATGGAAAGCTTCTTACCCACAAGTAACGAATGTCTTATGGAGCGATATATTATTCCTCACCGTAGTAAATGACCGTTGCTTTAAGGAACCAATAGCCGTTGAAATGTTACTGATTACCAAGATACTCCGAAGGGAACAAAAATCTACCACGCCCACTTCGTTGTTCCTGGGTAGCGTTAAGAGTAGATTAAGCAGATTTTAAACCCATGACAATTAATGTTACGACATTTTTTGGCTTCTAAAAACTTCAAACAAAGATTTCTCTATGAAATATTGATTTCCGGCATATGGCCCCTTTGAAAAGTCTCAAAGGGATCATATGCCGGAAATCAATATTTCATAGAGAAATCTTTGTTTGAAGTTTTTGTTCAGCTTGACGAATAGAATCGACTAAGTCAATAAAGAAAATTTGACATTGAAAATAACCTTGAATTTTGCGGCACTATATTTATGTTGCAATGTTGATGATATCGACGAGTAGAATCGACTGGCAAAAGCTTGACCAATAATTTTTCCCCACCCTGTACAATACTACTGTGTCCAAAAAGTAAGGTGACATTGCATTTATTTCGAAAATTCTTTATTTATTCTTGCAAATCAATTTCGTCCCCTTCAAAGTAATTCCCCCCTGATATAATACACTTATTCCAACGGATTTTCCAATCTTCGAAACAGTTGTAATAATCGATTTCAGGAATGGCCTTTAGCTCCTTCTTCGCAGCGGCTTGAATCTCTTCTATCGACTCGAAACGGTGTCCCCGGAGCCAGAAGTCGCATGGAGCCAAATCAGGTGAATACGGTGGTTGTGGAACGATATTAGTCGAGTTTTTGGCTAAAAAATCACGAATAATCAGCGCAGTGTGTGACGGTGCATTACGAGAAATTCACTTTTAGCAGCTCACAAAACAATGCGTATCTCAAACACTAATGGATATTTTGACGTGTTACTTCTCTTGGATGTCAAAGACAGTCCTACCAACCTAAAAAAAATTTTATTCCTCCAAATCCGTGCGCGCGGGAGATTTAAAATGCAATGTCACCTTACTTTCTGGACACAGTAGTACAACAGAAATATTAAGTTGATTCTCGATTGGTTGTTATTATTTAGGCGTATTGTTAAATACGCACCATGAGGATAAGGTATTTTACACGTAAAAATGTGTGAAAACTTAATGTGTGTAGCTGTACGATAAGGTTAAGATAGTAGTAACAACGTTGCCTACTGAGAAGTGTGAAGGTAGGGAAAATAATTTATTACTTTTGTTATATACTTAGTCCCTTTACTCTAAGAAAAACTGAATTTTTTATTTTTTAACTCTTTATTAGACTGCGTAAAGTATATGTGACTTATTTTCCGACAGTAAAATGACAAAGAATTTTTCGTAAAGAATCCGTATAGAAATATCATACTAAGAATCATTGATAATTACTTATTTTTAGTATTAAAAATACTGGATAATAAGTAATTATCAATGATTCTTAGTATGATATTTCTATAAGGGAAGTGATATGCAGATTG